CCGGCGAGCGGCGGCAGTTATACATATTATTATGTTCTGCGTGTATATTGTATACGTATATAATATGATCCAAGTAAAAGGGGACGACTTTTAAGGGAGAAAAAAATTTAAAAGACCGCGTGACAGAGAAGGAAAAAAAGTAAACAGGGTGACGCGATTAACGCCCGGTGCCGCAGGTTTTTGGGTGGCCGCCGCCGCCGCCGCCGATAAAGTGAGCTGATTACGCGCGTTCGTACATAATGTGTACACGAACCAGCGGGTGGGTAGCGGCGGCGGGTGTGTGGAAAAAGGCGATCGTTACGCCGCACATGTATACGTAACATCGGGTCGGTCATGGATGTGATGACCGTACGTGTGTGTCAAGTACGCGACCGGTCGTCCGTGTGCCGGGGGTATTGTATTTTTGGAAATTCGGATCGTTCCCCCCCTGCTGGTGCGTAACAAATCGCCACCGCCGTCGACGTCCAACACACACACACACACACACACACACACACACACACACACACACACACACACACACACAAACTCGTACACAATGATAATATTATATCATACGATATTGAGCCATTAACCTTGGACGATATCGAAACGCGAACGGACCACCTCACATCACACACACACACGCGGGCATACCTTTGCACAATGCTCGGCGTACACGGTGTTTTGACACCTGGTCTCACAACACGGTATTTTATTATTGTTGTATGATATAGGTTTACGATAATAATAACAATAAATGTGTAACACATCATATTATTTATACGAGTGTGTATAATATAATAAATAATGTGTGTGCGAGAGCTCTCAGAGGTCCCGCGAGATGGAATCTGTTAATTCTTGATAGTGATTATAGGGCGGAACAGTAAGTAGGCACACATGACAAGGCTGGGCCATTAACGAGTTATAATTTTGTTGAAACGTTAAGTTGATTACATTTTTAACAACGTATTTAACGCGGTAAGTTAGGACAAAATCAACGAGGCGAAGACGCCAATAACCGTGGAATAAGAGGAAGATGGCTAGACCAGTGTTTCTTAAAGTTTTTTTATCCGTGGAACCCTTATTCAGGCGTAATTTTATCGCGGAACCTCCACTTTTTTATTTAGCTATCAACAATAAGTTATTACAGCTCAACAATTAAAACCCCTACTTGGTTTCAATAGTTTTAATCGATCATTTTACGTTATGATTATTTGCGATAAAAATTATGATGATTGAATATAATAATATGTGTATCGGTACTGTATTTATTCAAAAAATATTTTTAAAAAAAGTATAAAATAATAATAAAAATTAATGAGATTAGTGAATGGGCTCTTTATTGTTACAAATATTCTTAAATTAGACTTTATCGATGAAAGTTGTTATCATATTCGGCAACAAGTCTCCTGTTGCGGGATTTTGTTTTTTGTTGATACACTTTGATCAACAACGTTCGATTATTATTTCTACATACTGTATAAGGTTAGGTTACACTATAGAAGTATGGGCGCACTATACAATATACGCTATTATTTAATATACAAAGATATTTTTCACCACTAGACTCTACTTATCTTTAGTTAGATTTTTCAAATTGATTTTCTTGAACATTTAGAAAAAAGCAGTAAGTTTCGAGGAACCCTGAAGTTATCTACGCAGAACACAGCTTAAGAAACGCAGGACTAGACGACATCGCATTAAAAATCTGTATTATAAAATATAAATTACACGAGAAAAACATATCTAAGAATTTATTAACACACATTTTAGATATTGAGTTAAAGTTGTAATATAAAATTAAATACAGAGTGATTTCTTAAGCATGGGCACTCCCCCCCCCATTTTTCCCTTTAATATTATATTTAATTCAAATTCTGATTTTTAGAATTTTTAAGTAGACTTAAAGACCATATTTTCAAAATTCTGATTTTTTGTACTGCTAAAGGAGTATCCTGTGGTGATACAAGCTACTATTTTTCAAATGAGAAAAACGCTTTTCTTTACTGTCATTTTATTAGTGGATTATTTATTTTTATATGTTGATGTATCTAATTCAAAATTCTAATGAGTAGTTTTAGAGTTATTAAAATGTTTACACTGAGGATATTAATCCTCAAAAATAATTTTACAAAAATAAAAACGTCAACTTTTTGGTGCAAAATCATCGATTATATTAGAGTTACCCGTGTAAAAAGTCGACTATCTACCCAACAAAGCATATCGGCCTCTATATTATAGTCACGTGAAATCTAGGTATCTGACGGTTGTAAAATGAAGATCAGTATGATAAGACTAACTGTTTTTAATTGAAATATAATTTTGATGAAATATATTTGGATATTTTACGCACCTCTTAGCGCGTTGTATAAATAGCTCAAAATGCAACTAAAGTTTAAAAAATTGCGTAGATATTTTATTTACTCTGTTCAACGAGTGTAAAATTAGTATAAACATTGTAAAATTTACTATTTACGTTAATGTTTTTTGAATTAGGTACAACAAAATTGTTATTGCCGTTATTATTCGGTTGAATATAAATTTCGTCCAAACAGAATATTATGTCAATAAAAAAAAAAATGTGTTAATATATTTTTTAGATTTTTTTGGTTACAGTTATTTATGACTTATGAGGAACCGTGTGTTAAATGCTCAGTCCCTTACCAAGTAAAATCTTCGTTACTTTATACATCAACCCACTCCCTCATTACAAACCTTCACCGCGATTTCACCAAACTTGGCTGTACAGTACTGACGTTGGTAATAATCACACAGACCATCCGCAAAAAAATATATATATGTATAGCTTCGACGTCTACCTTCCATTCGGCTATTTCGGGTTTCGTACGCACGAATTTGCATTATTCAAAAAAATAACATTAAACGATTAAACCCATTGCAATGGGGTGTTGGATACCCAAGCATAACATATTATAATGTGCCGATCTAAGTCCCGAGAGACCCACTTTAACCAGTCATCGAAACGCATTGAAATCGGCGAATTCGTGATGCCGATATTTCATATTCTTCCGCAACCTATAAAACCTATATATTATATTGGACATTTATTCGAGCAGGATTAAAAATCTTTTTTGGGAAAAAACAAATTATGTATACATTATACCGCCAGACTTAACACGTTAACGATATACAGGTGGATTCAATAATAATATTAATCGCGGCGGAATTGTGTGTTTTGGTGTTCGTTCTCATAAATATTATTATCATTAGTTATTGGCTTATTTTTTTTTTCGTTTCCACTACACATCATATTATAGGCAGGTATTTAAAACCATAATATATTTACATGCAGAGCGAAAGCGTGCAGTGACCCATGTGTGTGTTTGTGTGTGCGCTATAGGGGGGGGGGGGAGGCACTACAGCGGCGACTACTGCGTATCTCGGAGAACCCGAAGACCAAAAAATGTAATAAACGTTCCGTGAACATGACATACGAACTATAATAGGTAGGTCTCAAACCAAACCCATTGCGTGCAGCGTATACGACCGTCATAAAGATAGGTAGTACCTACACCAGTTATAACTATCTATACACGGCTACACCAGCAATATTAATAACAATTAACTATATTTTAATATATTATTCAAATTATGGCCGGCTCGTTATCGCGATATCGTGCGGTGTTAAAAAACATAAATTAATAAATTACCTATGTTGTGTTTATATATTTTTAGTATAAGTGTATGTGTTTTGCACTCTGCTATTTTCAAGGAAGAAGAAAAACCACTTATGATGGTTCACCATTTATAATTAGATAGTATACTAACGAATATTGTAGTTTCGTTTATTGATAGGATTCCTGTTCCTATTAATTCTAATGTTTTACTATTATCTGGGTATTCTAATGTTACAGTATTCGAATCTCTAGATGCATACGTCCAAGAATTGTTTAAGATTATTTTTAAATAAAACGTCATTGAAGTTTTCATATGTCTTACGTCACAAGAACTGGTAAATTTTGAGGGTTAATAAATAATTGAACTTCACAAGTGTCATGGACTCATGGGTGTTTCTAATTATTTTATTATGTGGATTACATATTGATATATTTAGCGGGTGCCTACACATCATATAGTCTCGATGTGTAAAATTTACGATTTTTTCATTGTCTTGACTTAATGAGAGATATTCATTTGATGGTTTAATATAAAATATAATTATCCCCCACACACAAAGATATATATATGTATAAAGTATAAATTAAGTGCGTAACCATAAAGTTTAACTCTTTCATGCACAGGTTTTTGTATGTTTTTCAGACCTTAGTTGCACGTGTATTTAAATTTTTTTTTTTATATATATGTTTAAAAATATGTTTAAAACAATTATCAAAAAAAAAAAATTTAGTTATGAAACTCAGGAGTTACAATATGTGGGATTACGTATATCCCACCGTACATACTGAGCTCATATTTACTCACACACTGTGCCTGTTCGTATAATGAATTTAAGGATTCGATCATTTTTTTTTCTTTGTCTACATTGAATCATTGGTCTATACATTCCTATTATTAACTATGATAAAATCAAATAATATAGAATACGGGTTTATACACATTGATTGAACACCTTACCTAGTAAAATAAATTAAAAATAATAAATAAAAAAAAATTATTATTACTCTTTTACATATATTTGTATAAAAAAAATCAAATCCTTTCATATTATACATAAATATATAACTAAATCACATTAAAATTAAAAAAAATATGTATCAATACATTAAAACTTATTTCAAATCATAGTTCCAAGACTTTTTATCAGATTTATCGTAAATAATAATAAATTAAAATTGTATACAGTTTTTAATTAAAAAAAACTATTACTACTACTATTATATTTGCTTATATGTTTATATGTTTCATTATTGGCTTGCACTGACTTCAAACTGAAAAAAAATAATATTTTTAGTTTTGTTCTAAACTATTTCAGTTATATTATCTTATTCTAATTATTTACCAGTTTTACTTATGATGATCAGCAAAACAGTTTCGGTTTATTGTAATGCAAAGTGGAACGTTACATACTGCACACATCCATTTAGATCTAACTTCTTTTTCTCTTGTGCTGCATTTTGCACATCTTCTTCTTGTCGATATTTTCGGTTGATGAGCTGATTTTTCCAAACGAAGAGAGTCAGGTACAAAAGGCTTGTGTTAATTTCCGCTCGTGATTTTTTAGTGCTTTTAGATTGACGTTTACATACTATTGTTTTGTTTAGTAGCTCCCTTGAAATATCACGTCGGAAGTTTTTCATAGTTATTGTTGTTCCAGTGGATTGTGTATATATAACATGTGCATTTACAACTGCTATATCGATGAAATGAAAAAATATACGGTGCCACCATTTTTTGCTTTTGCGGTCAATTTGGCAGGACTTTTTGTTTTGATCTAATTTATCGACGCAATTCATGTTTTCATTATAGTCTTTTAAAACTTTCGGGCAAGGTATCATTGTCAAAGTTCCGTCTTTAACTCTCCTAGGTACAATATCAGTGTCAGTTGGATTATGGAAATTAGATAAAAGACTAACTGATCGTTTATCTTTCCATTTAATAATTGATATTGAAAATTGATCGGTATTCCAATCATATTCCCCTTGTTTTAAGGACTTGTCATTTTTTAGCTGTGGTAAATGTTTTCTTTTCATGTTTACTGTTCCACACGCATAAATCCCATTTGATTTCAAGTACGATATAAGCGGATAACTAGTAAAATAGTTGTCAAAGTATAAAAAATAGTTTTTATTTTTAAGTGGTGCAGATAAGTTTTTCACTACACGTGCTCCCAAATTTTTTTCTACCGTATCACCAGACTTTCCTGTATAGACATCAAAATTCCAAAGGTACCCGTACTTGTCTGCCAAAGCCCATACTTTATATCCTCTTTTTATGGGTTTTTTAGGCATATATTGTTTGGATGAATGACGGCCTTTAAATTTTATCATTGATTCATCTATAGCTACTATTCTATTTGGATTGTATACTGCCTGACTATTTTTTAAAATTAAATTGAGAAATGGCCTTACCTTGTACAATTTATCGTAGTCGGCGTCTCCTTTTTTTGGAATTACGGAATTGTCGTTCAGATGTAAATGTGATAACAACCAACTAAACCTATTCACTGGCATAATATTACTTATATAATCGTCGTGTAAATCTGGAGCAGAAGACCAGTAATCCCGATAGCTGCATTGTTTTTTTATACCCATTAGTAAGTTCAAACCAATAAAATCATTTATTTCATTAGTATTTGTTTCTGAGTAAGGTTTTCCATTTTTTAAGTAAATTTGATTAGCATATAAATTTGTTTGAAATGTAATATAGTTAATTATTTCATCTGTGATTAAAAGTTTAAATACAGATAGCGGAGTAATTTCATTTATTGTATCTAAAATATTAGTTGGCCCTTGTGAACAGTCAAATGGAACAATTTCAATATTTATATTATTTTTTTTCGACCAAATAGGTTCAATAAACTCGGTTTGTTGAAATGTAGGGGAGACCGGGGCTAGTTGTCACAATATCTATTACTCCGAAACTAGATGGCGCTTCAATTCAAAAATTATATTGCACGTTATCACTATCGTTCTAATCATTTTAATCTTGTCACGAGGACGTTTGCACCTCCGAATAATTGTCGGGATCAAAAAAAGTATATTTCACGTTGGTAAGTAAATATTTTTCTTGAATTCAATTGAAATTTACTACTTATATGTTACTACTATTCTTAGTATTATCAACTTTACATTTAAGTAATGTATTAAGGTAATTTTCTGTATATCGTTTTCGATTGTACATGTAAGTGATAAGTAATTATCAATGTGTTTATCTCGAGTAGTGTATTGGGGTTTCTTGTCACATATCATCTGGGGCCAGTTGTCACATGTGACAACCGACCCCAGGAAAATATCTAAAAAGTAAATAAGTAGGTATTATCTAAGCTAATTCTTAAAATATTTTTAAATTTTTAGGAAAAATGGTTCGTAATTTAAAAAAAAGACAGAAAAAGGGGAAATACCTCCAGATGTAATGTTAAGAGCTGTAAGAAATGTCAATTTAAATAAAGTATCTATTCGTAAAACTGCAGCGGAATTTAAAATAAACTATCGCACACTTGCTAGGTATTGTAAAAAAATACCCGAAAAAGAACAATTAGATACTAAAATTGTTACTCCTTCAGTCAATGTTGGTTACATTAAAAATAGAATGGTTTTTAATGAAACAATAGAGAGTCAACTAGAGTCCTACATTTTAAGAGCTTCTGATATTTATTTTGGTTTATCCCCTAAAGAAATTCGTACTTTAGCTTACCAAATAGGCATTGAAAATTCTTTGAATATTCCTCAGTCATGGACAGAAAATAAAATGGCCGGTTCAGATTGGTTTACTGCATTTTTAAAACGACATCCTACGTTGTCTATTAGAACACCAGAACCAACAAGTTTAGCTCGAGTTTCAAGTTTTAATCGTACAAACGTTGATTCATTTTTTGATAATTTGTCTACGGTTATGTCGAGACACTTTTTTCAAGCTCATGAAATATGGAATATGGACGAAACTGGCGTGACAACAGTTCAATCCCCTAATAGAGTAGTGGCTCGACGTGGATACAAACAAGTAGGAAGTATAGTTTCAGCAGAGCGAGGTACTTTAGTGACCATGGCATGTGCAATTTCAGCTATCGGTAACAATATACCACCATTTTTTGTGTTCCCTAGTGTCCATTATAAAGATCATTTTGTAGCAAACGGTCCACCAGGTTCCAATGGTTCAGCTAATCCTTCTGGTTGGATGCAAGAAAAAGACTTCATCTTGTTTCTTAAACACTTCCATAACCACGTAAAAAGTACAACCGAACGACCTGTATTATTATTGTTGGACAACCATGGATCACATTTGAGTATTGAGGGGCTTAATTTTGCAAAAAATAATGGCATTATTATGCTATCTTTTCCTCCTCATTGCTCACATAAATTGCAACCTCTCGATAGAACAGTATTCGGGCCATTCAAAAAGTATTTAAATTCTGCTGGTGATTCTTGGATCATAAATAATCCAGGCAAAACAATGACCATCTATGATATACCAACTACTGTTTCTCAAGCTTATCCTCTTTCTATGACGCCTAAAAATATTCAATCTGGCTTCAGGTGCACAGGTATATATCCATTCAATAGAAATATTTTTTCTGATTTCGATTTTGCACCAAGTTATGTAACAGATAGAGCAGATCCGACATCTCAAAACACAAACACAGAATCTAATAGTTCATTTAATGGAAATGTGGAATCTGAAATTGATACAGTTATTCCCAATTCACCAAATATACCACTTGTAGAACTTAGTAATTCCGAAATGTTTATTTCTAATCCAAAAGCTTTCAAAACAAATCAAAATAATTCTTTATTTTTAAATGTACTGGAAGAACCCATTGCTGACCAAAGTTATTCAAAACAATCTTCTTCAACAACGCCCAATCATGAAAAAAGCCAAACCATTGTCTCCGATTGATATTCGACCATTTCCAAAAGCATCTGCTAGGAAAACAATCAAAAATAATCGACGAAAACGTGAAACTGCTATTCTTACTGATAGTCCAATTAAAAATCAGTTGGAACAAGAAAAATTAATGAGGAAAATTAAACCAAAAAAAACCAAACAACAAAATTATAATACCAAGAAAACAATTGTCCCAAAAGTTCCTAAAAAAAGAAAAATATCAACAGACCACATAGAAGAGGAAGAATGTTTTTGCTTGGTATGCTTAGAACCATTTTCAAACTCACGCCCTAGAGAAAAATGGATCCAATGCATGGAGTGTAAAGAATGGTCTCATAAGGAGTGTACCAGCGGTAACATACGTTATGTGTGTCACAACTGTGATAGCCCTATTGTCAGTGATGCAAGTTCTGATTAATATGTATTTCTACTGTACCTAGTTATTATATTTAAGTTTTCTTACACAATATCGTTTACCTATTGCTTTTGTTATTTATTCTAGTATAAAGATTAAACTAGTTACCTACTATTTAAAAATGATATTATATTTTAATTATGTTGTATTAAAAAATATAGTTTACCTATTACTTATGTTATCTATTCTAGTACAAAGCTTAAACTAGTTACCTACTATCTAAACATGATATTATATTTAAATAAAGTTGTATTAAAAAATATTGTTAACCTATTGCTTATGTTATTTGTTATAGTATAAAGTTTAAACTGGTTGTTTTCTGTTTTTTATAAATTGGATACTAAAAAATAAAAGTTAAAATTGTATGTTATTTGTCTTTTAAAATACCCGGGACAACTAGCCCCAAGCCTTGTGACAACCAGCCCCTTTTAAGGGGCTGGTTGTCACAATTGTAATGTTTAAAAAATAAAAGTAAAAATTGAACTTAACTTGAAAACTAGTGTTTGTTTTTTTTACAATAAATGCCTAAGATAATATATTTCATTATGAACTTACCACGATATTAAAAAAAACAAAAGATTTTTTTTAAAAAATTGAAATGTCAAAATTGTGACAACCATACCCGGTCTCCCCTACCATTTTCAGGTATAACATTTTCATCTGGTAAAGGCACAGCAAGTTCTTCATTTTCTCTTATTTCAAAATTTTGTTGAATAGGAGGAAAAAGTGTACGGTGGTTTTTGGTAACATATTTATTACAGTCAAAACTCTTTATAACGAATCTGAAGGGACCAAGAGATTTCTTTCGTTATAGAGAGTTTTCGTAATAAAGGGTTTAAAAAAAACAAAATTTTAATTATTTATGTATAAAGGTATGTATGTATGTAATATTATATATCAAACACATCATTATTTTTACAAATAATGAAAGAATGTAATCGTTCTTGGAAATGTCGGCATTATAGCCGATTATTTTTATAGTTTATATATGTAATAGATACGATAACACGTAAATTGTATTATGAAACATAAAATATTGTTTCGTTATTGAGAGTGACTGATACGTTATAGAGAATGAATTGTCTAATGGGTTATGTAGCAAACCAACCATTAATATGTAATGTTTACGTTATATAGAGTTTTTCGTTGTAAAGAGTTTCGTTATAAAGAGTTTTCACTGTATTTGTTATTTCATTTTGATTTATTCTACGACTGGATCGTGTTTTTTTCGGACTTGGTAAAATATATGATCTATTTTCTTCAATGTTAAAAATGTCAACATCTTCTTCTTCGTTATCTGAAGAACTAGACGATTCAACTACAACAAATTGTGGACAGGTTGGAACAGAAAGCTTTGGGAAATATGTTTCATCATCGCCCGAGTTGTCTACTGATGAAATACTGTCGTCGTCAGATGGTAAATCTTCAAAAATAATGTCATTTATTTCACTTTCTTTTACCAATCGAGACATATTTAATATATCTCGCGTACTATTAAAACTACAATAACGTAAACAGAATGATATGAACAAAACTCGCGAGTATATACCGATTACGGCGTCGAAACGTGTACTGACGCGACTAACACTTATTGCACGGTGGGACATATAATGGACGCTCATTATTGCACAAATATTGGGCCATATATTTAGAATAGCTAATCAAAACCAATATTAAATTAAACTATATTATATTTAGAACTAAATGAAAAAAAAAATCATACAAATCGGTCGATTCGATAAGGAGAAAATTAAACATTAATGCCCGTATGCATAGTCCTGTTGTTATGTGTCACATATAGTTGCTTAAGTGACCTTTAGCTAAGTGGCCCATAACATTTTTATGTAACCCATAACTATTATTATGTCCCACATAAGTTGTGTCTTGCATAGACAATATTTATGTATTCAATAGCTATGTAAAAGTTTATGTTATAATAGCCATTGTTATCAGGGTTACTATGTTCACATTAGTGAAAATTGATAAGATAACGAATAATAGTATTACTATTATTCGTAATTCAAATTTGTATAATTCTGAATTCATTTTGTTTTCTAATTTAATAAAAATATTTTATATAATGACGAGCAATTCAGAAAAAAATAAACGAGCCCGTGCTCCTAATATTTCTGAAGAGGAAAAATCAATAATATTACACTGCATATCAAAAGAAAGGGACATAATTGAATGCAAAAAAACAGATAAGTTTAGCAACAGGGACAAAAACTCAGCTTGGGAAAGAATTGCTGTTAATTTCAACACTCACTTAGGTGCAAACAAAGTAAGTACCTATATGAATTATACTATATAGGCAAATTAGGTATATTATATCCTATACCTTCTTGTTTAATGTAATATAAAATAAATATTTCTGTTTGTAACTTCCATAATTAATTTGATTTACTGGTGTATTCAACCAATTATTATGATATTACAAATTTGTGATTACTTATTTTTATTATAACTACCTAGTTACAAGCTTCACATCATAAACTTTTAGTAAAATTGTTGTTTTCGCACAACTAATGTAAATAGATTTTAATATACTAAAGTAAAAATAGGTTGTAAATGCGTACCTACATGAGATATAATTTTTTTACCAGAGAGACTCAAAATGTCTTCGCCGTTTTTGGGAGGTTGAAAAAGCCAAAAGTAGAAAAGGATTTGCAAGAGAAAGGAGAGAACACATGGAAACTGGAGGAGGCCCTGAAAAAGAAAGTTTTAATGACAGTACACCAGAAATAAATAAAATATAAGTTCAACCTCAAATTGTGGAATTGAAAAATACGTATGATAGCGATGGAATTGCTCTTGAGCAATCTGGAAACATAACACAAGAACTTATTTCTATATCCCGGACACAAGACTTATTCCCATTAAATGATATAATTATGCATTCAAATATTTTATTAAATGTCAATGCACCAATAACTGATGACACAGGTGAGTATGTCATTAGATTAATTCTTGTTCTAAACTAATTATTGAATTTTCTGATTAAATTATAATACTTAATTATTTCAAAATGTAATAGTAGGTCCAACTACAGAAAAAGAATTATTATATTATTATTATTACATGGTCCCTAAAACGACTAGCAATCTCATGGGAAACTCTTTTAATAATTCTAGACACAGTACTCTGGTCAATGCCTCTCAAGTCTCCACAGACAGTCTATAAATTAAAAGTAACATGTCTTAAATAATTTTTACAAATTAAAATTAGGTGGTATTTCACTTGAAAGTTTGCTGTTGCATAAAATCGTAATGTTGTCAATAACTGTAGAATGGGAGGTATAGGCAATCCTCGATTATTGGCATAGTTAATACCTAATAAATTTAATAACTGATCCATGACAATTAGTTTTGGAAATCGATAACGTTTGAAAAATGTGTTGTCATTATATTTTTCAAACGGATCTTCAATATTACGAATATACCTTCTTGGAATTCGTTCAACATCAAATTCATCGAAATATTCATCAACCATTTCTACATAATTCACAAAGTTATAAAAATCGTCCATACTACTATATTTTTAAACAACTTTTTAAAATTTATATTTTGAGCATGAAAAATATTGATAGCACGTAAAAATAACAAATTTATGTATCACTTAAGACTTAGGTGGCGGAATTTTAGCGCATAACTTTATGTGTTTGTTTATGGCCTATGTAATACATAAATATCACTGTGCAAGAGAAAATTGTTAAAAGAAATTATGTGTCACATAACTATGTCTTATGTGACACATAAAATGACTATGCATATGGGCCTAAGTTTTAAAAATAAATTTATAAATATAATAATTTGATAAAATTAATTAAGTGATGTTTAATAATCGTAGACTTCTAGAAATGTACACGAATGAGCCATATATAATGGAAAACATATTAAATATCTTAAATAAAACCAACAAACTACTAAAAGTAGAAAAAAATATATTTTATAGGTGGTATACTATTTGTCCCACCGTGCCGGAAAGGTTATTTTTTTGGTGGGATTGTGTATATCCCACCGTGCCGGAAAGAGTTAAGGAAACAGTTAATAGTTTTAAAATATCATGGACGCTTTTATTTTTTCTGGATTTTGTGGGAGCATCCATCTATGCTGAGGAAGTATGTTTTTGATTTCTTTTAGCTGGTTTATTATTAATTTTGGATTAATTATTGAATGGTGTAGTTCAGTAGTTGTCCATTTTGGCCCTAAACTATTGAGTCAACGAGTTCATCGGTCTCCTAGTTAAACTCGGTAAATATTATATTAAAAAATATTAAATGCTGTGTTAATATCTGCGAAATGTCTATCGTTATAATATTCTGTATGCTATTATTAACATCACATATCAACTGATCTAACGTTTTAACTTAATAGTTAGAAATGTTCTTCCTTCGTTATTATGTTATCTAATTTAATAATTAACTGATTTTGAATCAATCATCTCTTTGAAATGAGGTCATTAAAATATAATTTGTACCATAAAAATTGGTTCTGGGTCAATCGACCGACAAAAAAATTTCACTTTTAATTTATATTCTTATTTTAAAAATCTGTGCATATTGTATACGATTGACCATTTTAATAATACATTTTTTTTATAATATTGTGTAGCAATAATATTTAGCAATGATAAAAATCGTCTTATAAATAATAGTAATGGCTCATTAAA